CAAATTTGTCTACATAGAGCTGTGGCATTTTATCAGTTACAGTTCAGGTCTTTCTAGTGGTTTCAACACATGAGTTTCTGCTCTGGTAAATTGTGATTCTCTGTATTTGCCTGTACCTCCAGTTTGGGGGTGGGGGGGAGGTTGGGTGGAGGGACAGTGGGTTGCCCTGTGACCTCACTTCTCTTAGAGTTCTAAGAAGTGTTGGTCTTTGAACATGTTCAGCTCTTTACTTGTTGTTAGGACAGAGTAGCCCCTTATATGTGAAACCAGAAAATGAAAATCTTATCTTTTTATTTTTGTTCTGCCCATATAATTATATTTAAAGTGGTTCTTTTGTATATAGCAGATAGCTAGCGCATGTTAAATATACTCTGCCATTCTCTTAGTATATTTAGACCATTTACATTTAATATAATAATAATTAAATTATAATGGTATACATCAACATTCTAGTTTTTACTTTCTATTTGTTATTTTCTTTTTTATTCCTTAACTTGCCATTTGGATCTGTCTATAGTGTTTTTAGTGTATCTTTTTGTTTAACGTTTTTAGTGATTACTGTAGGTATTAAATATCCATACCATTCATAGTGTATTGGTATCACTTTACCAATGTGAGTGACATGTTAAAAAAAAAAACAAAAACTTTATCTTTTTAAACATCCTGTCAGTATCCCCTACATACACTATGTCACATGTACTTTCTTTGCATACATTTATAATCATATCAGATAGCATAACATTTTTACCATTAAACATATTGAAAAATTCAAGAGTTTAAAGAAAGACCTATTGTATTTACCCACATTGTTACTTACAATGATCCTTTTTCCAGATGTTCAAAGATATCTTCTTCTAAAATTCCCTCTTTTATCACTTCACCTCATTACTTCAGGACAGAGTAGAAGGCCAGGCTGCCCATGTGGTCTCCACTAACATTCAGTGGAAGGGGAGGCTCTTGACTGGTAATGAGGATGAAAGTCACACTTCCATGTATAATATTCTTGGACACATTGCCTTTGCTGACACTGGAGTCATAATGTTTTCTGAGATAACTTGTTTGAATAAATTAGTTATTTTCTAAAATTTTTCTGTCCCAATAAGATGTTCTTTTCCGGGACCAGCAGATGGCATAATGGTTACATTACTGAACTCCCACATTGTTTACCATGGTTCAAGACCCTGATCTAGCAGCTTAAAACTCATTCCAGGCACATGTGTGGGCATGCGCAAAATCCTGAGAGGAGAATGGATTGCAGCATGGCCATCTTCTGTGTGTGTGGGGAGGGGGGGGGGCTGTTTTCTTGCTTTCTGTCTCTCTGTTTCTGTGGCAAGTGCACACGCCCTATAGCAAAAATCTATTTTAAAAAAAAAAAAGTTCTTTCCCTGGTTCTTTCACTAGAGATAACAGGGTTTTGTTGGAGCTCTTTTTGTAAATACCTATTGGCATTTCTAAGTTGCTAGCATCTTCAGGTCTAATTTTGAAAAACATTATGCCAAAAGAAAACCCAGGGAATTTCACACCCTTTCATTCCTCCAGTTCCAAGAGTCCTCACTGGCTAACCTTCTTTCCATCTAGTATCCAGTGTTTTTAGTTATACTTAATAGGAAGAATAGGGATAAGTATGGTTAACTGTAGTATCTTTTCAGAGAGAGAAATTCAGCCTAAATGACTTTGATCTGAAAAAAAAAAAATTGTGAAAAAAACTTTCTTACCTATGAGTTTTCTGCTTCCAAGTTTGGCCTTGCCAATTCCAATAACCACAACTAAAGCTAAGCTTCTCAGAAAAGAGACTGGCAGAGTCCATGTATGTGTGTGTGTCTGTCTGACTGTCTTCTGTAAGTCTGTGTTGGGAAAAAGCCTTAAACTTGTGTGCCTTTGCATTACTCCAACACACTTTATTCCAAAATGTCAAGATATTCTGTTCAATCAATGTTCCATAATTCCTTTCTTAAAAATTCCTCTCAGGGGGACCAGCAGTTAGCATAATGGCTATGTCACTGGACTCGCATATAGTCTACCACGGTTCGAGTCCTGGACCCAGTGGCTTAAACTCACACCAGGCACATGTACATGTGTGCCCAAGATCCCGAGAGGAGAATGGAGGAGGGATTGCAGTGTGATCATTCCCCCTGGGGGGAGGGATGATTTCTCGCTTTCTCTCTGTCTCTGTCTTTCTGGCGAGCGCGTGTGCCCTATAGCAAAAGTCTCTCCAAGAAAAAGAAAAAAAAATTCTTTTTGTGGGACCAGCAGTTGGCATAATGGCTATGTCACTAGACTTCCATGTGGTCGACTGATGTTTGAGTCGACCCGGTGGCCAGGCATGTGTGCATGCATACGTAAGATCCCAAGAGGAAACTGGAGGAGAAAAGACTGTGGCATGGCCGTCCCCCCTGAGGGGTGATTTCTCACTTTCTATCTCTCTGTCTCTGTCTTCCTGGTGAGCGCACATGCCCTATAGCAAAAACTTCTCAAAAAGAAAAAAAAATTCCTTTCCGGGCAGCAGGTAGCATGGTGGTTAAAACCACTGGACTCCTCCCACATTGTTAACCATCGTTCAAGTCCCAGACCTGGTGGCTTGCTTTCTCACTTTCACTCTCTCTCTCTTTCTCTGTCTCTCTCTGGTCAAATTACAAATAATAGTAATAATAAAATTAAATAAAATATTTTTTCATCTAATCCTAAATAGTACCCTTGGCTTCTATAACATCTTCCCTTTCTAAAAATCTACAATAAAAATAAATCTAGTCATCTCCCTAGTAAAACTTAATTTGTGTAATTCTATCAAGCAATTTATGTATTGATTTCTTCATTTTGTTTATGTGAGAAAATGATCACTGTAATATAATTGGATAATGTGTCATGGAGCTAAAAACAAAAGAATTCCTGATTAATGAAGTATAGTACTCACATTTTATACTGCAGTCTCCTACTTTGGTTTCCCGTAAGATTTTTCAACTTTATAGTAGTGCAGAAACATGTATTCACCAGAAATTGTACTTCAGGTACTTAGGTAACCTTTCCTTTTTTTTTTTTTTTTTTTTTTTTTTACTTTTGGTTTCATATTCATTAAACTGTATATTCAACACTTCATTATAAAATAGGTTTTGTATTAGATGATTTTGTCCAACCATAGGCTAACATAAGTGTTCCAAACACATTTAAGGTAATCTTGTCTAAGATACAGTGTTTGGTACATTAAGTGTGTTAAATGAATTTACAAATTGTGATATATTCAGTTCATAATGGATTTGTCAGGATGTAACCCGTTGTAAGTTGAAAAACATCTATACCCACAACTTCATCTCATAATTGTATGGTGGGATATTTTGGGTAGCACAGAATTCAATCTAAATTTATCTTATAAGCAGTAACTAAAAACACAAGTAGTTTAATTTCCATTATATAATGCCAGAGGGGGAAAAGAAGGGTTTTTTTTTTAATTGCCAGAGGTTGTGTATGCTTGCCAAAGACACAGAGAGAGAAAGTGGAAAAGGGAGAGGGGGAGAAAGCACCCCCTTCTCCAATGGGACATGGTCATATAGCAATCCCTCCTCTTCCATTTCTCTATTCTGTCTGGATCTTGGACATGCACACACATGCACTCTGGAAGGTTCCAGATTAACTTTCCAGGATCTCGCTGTGCATACTGGGTGCATGCATGTGTGTGCCTTCAGTCTGAGCTAGCTGAGACTGGAGGTAATCCCTACTGTAGAAGAAATAAATTAATAAATTTTAAAAGGATGTATTGTTTTGCCTGAGAGCGAAACATGAAAGAATTTATGAAAAGGTATATTTAGACAGTATGGACTTGAGTGAATAAGAGAAAGAAATACAGAGAAGCAGAAAGTAAAAACTTAAGTATTTAAAAGAATGTGCTGGGGATGGTGGGCAGCACATGGCAGAGTGGTTATGTCATTGGACTCCGACATGGCCAATGACGATTTAAGTCCTGGACCCAGTGGCTTGAAAATCACTCCAGGCACATGTGCATTCATGACCAAGATCTGAGAAGAATGGAGGAGAAGGGGAAGCAGTGTGGCCATCCCTCTGGGGAGTAATTTTTCATTTTCCTTCTCACTGTATCTGTCTCTCTCTCTCTCTCTCTGTCTCTCTCTCTCTCTCTCTGGTGAGCACATGTGCCCTATGGCAAAAACCTCTTAAAAAAATAGACTATGTTTGGGGCCAGCAGGCTGCTGGCATAGTGATTAAGGCACTGAACTCCCATATGACTGGCCATGGTTCAATTCCTGAACCTGGTAGCTTGAGAATCACACTGGGCTATGTGCATGCATGCCCAAAATCCCAGGAGGAGAATGGAGGAGAATGGATTACATCATGACCATTCCCTCCACAGGGGATGATTCTCACTGTCTCTGTCTCTCTCCAGTGAGTGCACATACCCTATGGCAAAAAAACTAAAGAGAAAAAGAATATGCTTACTGACAGTCACAACTTCTAGGAAGAAGGTACATAAGAAACCAATGACTTTACTAAAAGAAAAGCCACAAGGTACTTTTGTATCTTATGTCTATTGATAGCTGTAATTGCCTCCAAGTCTCTCCAAGTTAAGCAACATGTAACAGCTACCTAGTCTAACCAATATTTATTTTAAAATTGCATGTTTCAGTAAAAATAACTTGTCTTGCAATTTGGGACTAAAAAACTCTCACTTTTGGTTTATAAAGTAGTTATGTGCCTTTTATCCCTGTCTCTGAACTAAGCAGTTTTGCTCTCTTATCCTTTTTTTGTTGCAAAAAAAAAAAAAAAAAAAAGACCCCTTATACAAAATGACCATTGTTTTCCTCTCAAAGAGATATAGATCTCCAATATGGAAAACAAATTGTGCTAAGGCATAAGCCAAATTCACTTAGCTCATATATATGTCCATTTTGGAAATCAGAGTTGTTATTGTTTGTTTTTAGTCCAGAGAATGACAGCTGAATCATAATTGCATATAACCTCACAAAAGTTTACCTTCCTAATGCAACTCAAAAGGAAAACTGACCATTAAATTGGAACTCCACAGACAATAACACCTAATGCAATTTGGTTTTATGAGAGCTGTGGATTTCTTTTATTGTTTCCCTTTCCATTGTTTTTCACGTGTTTGGCAATAGCCTTTTAGCATTCCTTCATTAGATAGTTATGTGCTTTAAGCTATAGAAAAGCAGTTATCAAAATCAATCTGCTCAGTTCCTTAAAAAATTAAACATAGCGTTAACATATGACCGATTAATTCCACTTCTCGTATATTCACAAGAGAATAGAAAAACATGTGAATATAAAAACTTGTACATGGGTGTTCAGAGCAGCTTTTTCATAATAACCAAAATGTGCAAAGAAACCAGGTGTCCATCAACAGATAAATGAATAAACCAAATGTAGTAGAGCCATACAACGGAATATTTTTCAACCATAAAAACATGAAACATGCTACAACATGAACAAACATTTCAGAAGCCAGACCCAGAGGCCACATATTATATGGTCCCATTTGTATGAAAGGTCCAAAGAAGACAAATCTGTATTTTTTAGAAAAGAAGAATGGTGGTTACGAGAGGCTGAAGAGAGAAAGAAATGGGAAGTAACAGCTAGTGGTGATGGGGTTTCTTTATGTGGTAATGAAAAACACAACTGTGAGAATATACTAAAACCACTGAATCATATACTTTAAATTGATGAGGTTTGTGGCATGTGAATTATAAATCAATGTAACAAAAAAGAAGAGACAAAAAGCTGTTCACATTCTAAACTTAAAACTAGGAAGCAGATGGACAGACATAGCTTGAACAAAGGTTCCAAACTTCATAATTCATGCCAAAAAAGAAAGAAAATATTTCATGAAGCCTGTTTTTACGTAATTTTTCAGGAACTGATACTAAGTGGAAATTCAGCCTAAGAAAATGGGACAGCCAGAGGCATGGTAAAGGTGGCTGAAACCCACCTGGTCAACTGCACTGTTCAATTTGAGCATGTGTGCATGTGTGCCTAAAATCCTGAGAGGAGATTAGGAGGGCCATCTCCTAATTGGCCATTTCCCAAGTATTTCCTCACTTTCTTTCTCTCTTTCCATCACTCTCTGATGAGTACACACGCCATATAGAAAACTTAAAAAATAAATAAATAAAAAAGGAAGATAAAACTAGAAAATATGAGGAATGATTATATAATGATCAAAATAACTAGCTTTTTAAAGCTGTTTGCAGATGGGAAAGAAAAAAAGAAAGAGGTTGGGCCACCAGGTGGCATGGTGGTTAAGGGCACTGGACTCCCACATGGCCAACTGCAGTTTGAGTCCTGGACCTGGCAGCTTGCCTTCTCACTTTCCCTCTCTCTCTTGCTCTGTCCCTCTCTGGTCAAATAAAAATAAGTAAGTAAATAAATATAAATACATAAATACCTACATACATAAAATAATTCTTTAAAAGGAGAGAAAGAGGTCTTACCACCTCCTAATCCTACAGGTTCAGCTTCCAGCTAGTTAGGAAAGGTGCTCCCCACTATACCTGGCCTTGTTTAGGTGGAAGAAGGCATCAAATCTGGCCATCTCTTGTAGCACCACAGCTGGGCCACAGAGTTCTATGCAGTAGATGATATTCAACTCTAGAGATGAGAAAAACTGCAATGAACTGATATATATATATATGTATGTATGTATAGCAGAGGGCACATGAGCTCATTAGAGTGAGAGCAAGAGAAAGAGAGGGAGAAGAAAGTGAAAAGGCACCCCCATGGGAAATGATCACTACAATCCTTTCTCCCCTGATTCTCCCTCTGAGTATTTTGGGCATGTATGCATACTCACCTGGCAAGTTTCAAGCCTCCAGGTCCAGGACTCAAACCACATAGTTGGCTGTGTGAGATTCAACCACCTTAACCACCACACCACCAGCTGGTCTTTAATTATATATTTTTGTTGTTGCATCCTTAAACATCTCCAGGTAAAATTTTTCTCTTTTTCATCTCTGCATAAAAGGCATAGAATGTACACAAAATAAATGTCTAGCTAAATGAATACACAAATAGGTCATCAGAAAAGTCATGATGCATTTTTGCACAGAAAAATAAGTCGTGACTTTTCCAATGACCCAATAAATTAAAGATTACAGAGGACAAAGGACTTACTAAACAAAGCAATGTTAGAATATATATCTTTGGTTTCCTATTAAAGCATGTCACAAGTCTCCTGTGTTCTTGTAGATTTCCAATTTAGTGGTCAGTTTTTCTTTTGAGTTGCATTAAGGAGGCAAACTTTTCTTTCTTTTTTTTTTTTTTTTTTTGAAGAGGTTTTTTCTATAGGGCGCATGCGCTGGCCAAGAGGGGGCGCATGCGCTGGCCAGAGAGACAGAGAGATAGAGAGACAGAAAGCAAGAAATCACCCCTCAGGGGGGATAGCCACGCCGCAATCCCTTCTCCTCCTTTCTCTTCTCAGGATCTTGGGCATGCACACACACACGCCTGGCGTGAGTTTAAGTCACCAGGTCCAGAACTCAAACTGCAGTTGACTACATGGGAGAAACAAACTTTTCTGAGGTTATGTGTTCCCTGCATTCATTGCACATTTGTTCTAGCCCCAGTATTTTAGCTGATATGATTTTATTCAAAGTCCAAATAGATGTTTTCAACCTAAGTATTGACATGGCATATTACAAGGCTCAAGGAAAACTACAGTTCAATAATATACAGATTATACTTGTCTGATATATTGTTTGTTATATAGTATTTACTACCAAACCTTCAGTTTAGTACATCAGATATCTACTCAATGCCTGTTATACACCAGCCACTATGCTACGCCATGGGAATAGAAAATGAAGATGAGTAGGTAACTGTACTGGACGCACCTCCTGAAGGTGAGTTCAGATATAACTCAAAATACTCCAAGGAACTAACAGTTAACGTCAGTGGATTCCTTGTATTTTCCATTATAAGCCACTCATCAACTTCCAAGAAAAGAGGACAACCATTGTTGTTTTCCATAAATATCTAAAATCCTAACTTATGACATCTAGGAATTCAGCATTTGAGCAGATAGCCTACATAGTATTGGTTTAGGATGGATGATTCAGGAGCTTTATGGAGCCATATTCAAGACCATCCACTATTACCAAATTGCTTCTTAAAACTTCACCACTTTTCCTCATGGGTTAAGCCTTTCTATTAAGACAGCCTATTTCTTACTCTTAAGGTGACCAGTAAGTAGGACTGTTTAAAAAACAAGAGTATTTATTTAGTGACATTAAATGAACACAGGTCTTAGATTTGTAATTTTATCACAGATTAAGGTGCTCTTCCAGTCAAGAGAGTATCTGATGTATAACAAATGCTTATTATATGTAGAGCAAACTAACTAATCACAAACTTAGTGATTACTGAGAGTCCACTCACATCAGAAAATAGATTTGTCCCAAAGTCCAAGTTAAATGATATACCTTATTCATATAAACTAGTAGACGATTTGACCATCATTCATTCTTCTTTTCTATTTGAATAACTATCCACTTAATTAAAATCAATGAATTTTAAAACAAAAACAAGAGAATAGAAGCTGTATGATTTAGCAAATGTTTTAAATGTCAAATGACGATAGACTAAAAAGCATTCATATTTTAAAATGACATGCCAATATTTTTTTTATTATTAGTCAGAATTTCTTTTGGCTTCTACTTATCTTCCAAATCTAATGTGTCCTCTTTATTTTTTTCCCCTTTATTTTTTAACCACCTCTGAATTCTAGGGTCATTTTAATATGATATGTACAGGTACCTTTAGCCTGTTGAACAATAGTCTTTATTTTTTTATATTACATTTAGTCACATATATCTTTACAGTGTATAACATTTCCTTTTCCAGCATGATTACCATGCATATCAGTGAAGACAAAGACATTACTGTCCACATCATCATCATCATCAAATAGCTTTTCTTTTTTTTTCAGATTATTATTTATTTTCATTTTTCGTTTTAAACATCCAGTCACTATACATCATTTGGCTTATAAAGAGAATTTAACAAACATGAAATATTTCTCATACCAATCCAGTAGACAATACTATACATGTTATCATTAACAGGTAATAAACCATTTCTGTGTCCCATAAATGTCATGCCTATTTGTTCTCCTGCTATCTTTCTCTATATTCTTCCCTTCTCCCTTGCCCCCTTCAGCATCCATAACTATTTTCACTGTTTTTATGCCCTCCAATATTTCAAGCTCTACCATATAGTGTGGATAGTTGGTATATATTAAGTGTATATATACAATATCTATCTTTCATAACTTGGCTTGCTTCACTCAGCAATAAATATTCAACCAATTTCTATCAAATGCCAGGGTCTTATTGTTCTTTATGGCTGAATAGTATTCCATAGAGTATATGTGCCACACTTTTTCAATCCCTACATCTGTTTGTGGACATTTGGGTTGGTTCCATGTCTTAGCAATTGTGAATAATGCTGCAATAAACATTGATGAGCAAGCGCTTTTCTGACTGAGTGTTCTCCTGTCCTTTGGGTAGATACCCAAAAGTGGTATTGCTAGATCAAATGGTAGTTCTATTTGTAGATCTTTGAGGAAGCTGCATATTGTTTTCCACAGCAACAGGACCAATTTACATTCCCACCAACAGTATAGGAGAGTACCCCTTTCACCATAACCCTGCCAACACTTAACACTTTTTGCATTTTTAATCTTCAGCATTCTGACAGGGTATTAATTAGTGGTTTTAATTTGCATCTCCCCTATGATGAGGGATGTTTGAACACTTCTTCATATGTTTTTTGGCTGTTCATATACCTTCTCTAGAGAGATTTTTGTTCAGCTCATTTTCTCATCTTGAGTTTCCTGTGTATTATCATTATTGGTCCCTTATCTGAGGCATATTTTGCAAAAATATTCTCCCATTCTGAGGATTGTCAATTCACACTAATTACTGTATCCTTTGCCATGCAGAAACTCCTTAATCTGATATAGTCCCACTTGTCTATTTTAGGGATTATTGTCCATGCTTTGGGAGTCTTATTTAAGAAGTCTTTGCCTACCCCAATGTCTCCCAGTTTCCCCAGTGTTTTCCACCAGTAGTCTTATAGTTTGAGGTCTTAGGTTCAGATCTTTGATCCATTTTGAGTTGATTTTTGTTAATGGTAAAAGATGGGGACTCAGTTTCATCTTTCTACAGGTGGATACATAGTTTTTCCAGCACCATTTGCTAAAGAGATTTTCCTTTTCCCAATGGGTTGACTGGTATCTTTGTCAAAAATCAGTTGGCTATAAGCTTTGGGGCTTATTTCTGGGGTCTCTATTCTATTCCATTGGTCCACCTGTCTGTTTCTGTGCCAATACCATGCTATTTTGATGATCACTGCTTTATAGTATATTTTGAGGTCAGGGAATGATATGCCACCCACTCTTCTTGCACAGGATTGCTTTGGCAATACAAGTTCTTATATGATTGCAGGCAAATTCTATGATTGTCTTTTCTAGATCTGTGATAATGTTTCTGGTATTTTGATTGGAATTGTGTTAAATATGTAAATTAATTTGGGTAGAATTGCCATTTTGATTATATTAATTCTTCCAATCAAGGGACATGGGATGTCCTTCCACTTTTTTGTGTCCTTTTCAATATCTTTTTTGAGATTTTCATAATTTTCTTTGTAAAGGTCTTTGACTTCCTTAGTTAGGTTTATCCCTAGGTATCTTAATACATTTTGTGGCTATGGTAAAAGGAATACCTTTCTTCAGATCTACTTTGTTCACCTTGTTGTTTGTATATAGAAATGCTATAGATTTTTGGATGTTGATTTTATATCCTGGCACTTTACTGTATTCATTTACTCGAGAACTTTTTTTCATGGAAACCTTTGGGTCTTTAAGTATACCATCATGTCATCTGCAAATAAAGATATTTTCAAACAAACAAGCGAAAAAGATATTTTCAACTCTTCTTTGCCTAAATGCCTTTTATATTATTCTCTTTTCTGATTGCATTGGCTAAGACTTCCAGCACTATATTAAAAAGCAGTGGAGAAAGTGGGCAGCCTTATCTAGTACTATTTTTTAGTGGAAAAGCTAGTAGCTTTTCCCCATTCAGTATACTGTTAGCTATAAATTTTTCATATATGGCTTTTATTGTGTTGAGAAATGACCCTTCTATACCAATCTTGCTGAGAGTCTTAATCATGAAGGGATGTTGTATTTTATCAAATGCTTTCTCTGCATCAACTGAAATGACCATATGGTTTTTATCTTTCTTTCTGTTAATATGGTATATTATATTCATGGTCTTGTATATGTTGAACGACCCTTGCATCCTTGGAATAAAGCCTACCTGCTAATGATGAATAATCTTTTTTATATGTTGTTGTATATGATTTGTAAGTGTCTTGTTGAGAATTTTTTATCTATATTCTTCAGAATTATTTGTCTGTAGTTTTCTTTTTTTTCATGTCTTTATCTGTTTTGGGAATGAGGATGATGGAGGCTTCATAAAGCGAATTTGGAAGGTTTCCTTCCTTTTGGATCTTTAGAAATAATTTGAGTAGAATGGGGTTTAACTCTTACTTAAAGATTTGTTTAAATTCTTAAGTGAAGGCATCAGGACCTGGGCTC